CCGTTACGAAACTTGTATTTAAAAAATACATTTTAATCTCTCCCTTCTCAACCATTCCCTTTTTTGCCTTCTTTTTCCCTTCTTATGTTTATTGTTTTTGTTATTATTGTCAAATCATTTCCCTTTAGACCATTGCGTTCCCACTCGATAGAAATTTATGAATACCTTGCACGAGCAAACTCATTTATCGTGAAGTCAACTGTTAAAAAAATAAAGACGTTCAATCCTCATGTGCGCTGACTCTTTCTTTTGAAGGTTGTTTACCGTTCTAATGATGCCAACTACAACAGATGCCAAAAAGCTTGATAAAATTCGTGACATGGAAGAACTTGTCTTATGGTACGCCAACGCACTGTCTCCTAATGAAGGTTTCGCAGGAGTTTTAAAGCCTGATTACCTTGGATTCCATCACAACAGCTATTATGCCTCTGCTTACACTCCGCATGCTATCCATTGTGGCGCACTCATCGAGTTTCTACTCAGTGGAACACCATTTAAATTGAGTAAGAATGAGCTAGTTACAAGGGAAAGTAAAGTGGAGACAAAAAAAAAAGAGCCACTGCGTACCTACCCCTCTGCAAACCAAACATTACCCCTAATTTGTTTTAGTTGACCGTTATTGGGTTAGGGGAGGAGTAGGTGTGCAGTTTCTCTGATACTAACATTGATCCAAATGGATTAAGAAACCGTTGGTTTGAGATATGCTCGAGAAGTCTGATTGTCCGATTGTGGATAGTCCTGGAAAGGACTCCTGTCAGTAGCATTGTCGTTTACAAATATGTTAGCCACATACTTAGCGCTATGGCTTTGAACAACATTATAGAGGGGAAAAGGCTAGGAAGGAAGTGTGCCAGCGGATGACTTCTCTGAAGTGTGGTTTCCAAGGTAGCGAAACGACTACACAAAGATCATGGTTGGAACTACTATTATCTGGGTTTCTTCTTCGTCCATTAACTCAATAATTCTTTTTAGAGGCTCCTTTTGTCTTATGTTCTAGCCTGCAAGAGGAGACGCCTCTGTGATCACATTGTTTCGCAAGGGAAATATGAGGCAACAGGTGGAGAGAGGCATCTTCTCGTAGGATTCCTGAGCACTCTCATCTTTCGGCCGTGTAAAATTGTCTGACGCAGTAATAAACTAGCTCTTTTGTATACTTAATATTTGGGGTATACGTTGATTTTAGAAAGGTAGTAATTGTATTTTGCAATTAGAGTTTGAGTTGTGTTTTCGTGGTTTTGGTTCAAAGGTGAGGACACAAGCAAGCATATTAAGAAAGGTCTAGAGACAATGAGGATTGTTGCCGTTAAATACTCAACTCCAAACAGTGTATGTGGTCGATTTCCAGGATTTTACCGTGCAATTTTGGCCAAGAATTTTCCTGCCTATGCTTACGCCGGTGCAACTGCTCCCAGTTTGAACGCTGATGGAAGTCTGGGTGAAATTGCTGCTCTCGACAGTGATAAGATCAAAATGTTTTTACGACTTAACGATGCAGGCAATGAGGATGTTAGCGATTACTTGGAAGATGGGACGATATTCACAAGTATCTATTACCTAAACACTATTGGTTCGATCAACATCATGGAGGAAATAAGCTCTAAAGCTGCCTCGATGAGTGTAGCGGCCGAAAGTTCGCCCCAGGGATTCTGGACGAAAAATTATGCTTCGCTAGTGATTGCACGAAGAGAAAATTGGGCGGTAACAATGAAAGGCTTTAACAAGTATGTCTGGGACTTCGAGGCCTCAAGCAATCAAAATGTTTATGGTCTTTATCAGAGTCATGGAGCACTTCTCGTTGCAAACAGCGAGGCGTCACTTAAAACTCTAGATATCGATAATGGTTGGGAGTGGACACGACATCCGGGCACAACAACAATAAAAATGGATCTTGAACAGATGGTTAGCCAGCAGCGTAGGTAAGTAATTAAATCCCGTTCGCTCAAATCCGTTTTTATCGTTTGGCTGGCTTCTCGAGCGGGCAGATCAAATGGAATCGCGTGTTCTGATTGGTTAGCCTAGCGGGCAAGATAGGCTCATATTCCCCGTTCGTGATTGCCCTCTTCGATCCCGTGGACTGAAAAATCTCCCTGCTACCGGTTTTCTAAATTCGTAACTTTTGGGGAACTATTCTATTAGTAGAAGTTTCGTTTAAGGCTCTTTTTAACAACAACAACAACAACAAATGTCATGTCCTCTATATCAAGTTTTAACAATGTATTGAATAGAAAATAATAAATTATTATTGGTATGATAGTAAGAGGGTAACTGCATCCTGGAATAACTAAGGAGCTAAAAGTGACAGGGAGTTGTGGATTCCTCCCCTCCCCCCCCCCCCCCCCCCCCCCCCAAGGAAAGAAGTGCGTTTTAGTAGAAATAGAGACAAACATGGCCCGAGTGCTAAATAGCAAGGTCCACAATCACTGGAGTTAGGTTTCCAGAAACCTTATGGGTAATATTAAAGAATTGGTCCATACTCAGAGTGCACGTATCGAATTATGGATGCACGTGGGAAATTTGGAGAGCGCCGCTAGCAACTCTAGCTCCCTGCTTCTTCAGTCCTCTCAAAACTTCCCAAGTGCAACCATAACTCGATATACGCATAGTTAAAGCGTGAACCAAATCTCTAATATTATCATAAGGCTTAGGTCGATATAAAATTGTGTGCTTTTTATTGTCCATTGGAAATATCCCCCCTCCCCCACCCCTCTCAAAGTATCCAGGGGGCCGGAAATGAAACATGTTAAGTGTTTTTGCTTTAGTTTTAAATTGTGACTTCCTCCAAAAAATATATGTTTATCATTATAGTGGTATTGTAGGCTCATATGGTACGTAGGACAAATGAACCAATTATATCATCTGACATTTGAAGTGGCTCCACAGATATTTTCAACCCAGGGAACTTGCGGGCGGATTGACTTTGATTGGTGGCGGTGATTATGCTACAGGGGGCTTTGGAATGGATTTCTCACAGCCAAGCTATAAGTTTCCAGCTGGTTCCTTTCAACTTAACATCACATTTGGATTTAAGAAGAGCGTGTTTTTCGCAGATTTTGCCGTGATTTGTCTTGGATCTGGAATCACAACAACCATGAGCTCGCCCAATATAACTCAGGTACATTTAATTGTTTCCCTTTCAATTAAGCATCAAGCCTCTCCTTCAAATTTGTTAGAATTATTTCTGTAACCAAAAACTTAATGTCATCGAAAGGCGGGGACAGATACAGTAAGAACTATTACTTGTGGTAACTTGCAATTTATCTAATACAATCAACGTGGAGGAAGTATGGTGACGAAGGGGTTTGCACGGTGGACCTCTGTTCGATAAGTCTGGGTTTGAGTCCTGGGAAGGTCATTTTGTTGAGTCTTTTAGCCAGATACTTAAATTTTTTATTGCCTGTCTTTAAACAAGGGTATAAATGCGTACCTGTAAACTGTGAATGGATTTTAGGGATTACCTAAAATGTACTGGAATAGATAGATAGACAGATAGAGAGGTAGGTAGGTAGGTAGGTAGGTAGGTAGGTAGGTAGGTAGGTAGATAGATAGGTAGATAGATAGGTAGATAGATAGATAGATAGATAGATAGATAGATAGATAGATAGATAGATAAATAGATAGATAGATAGATAGATAGATCGATAGATAGATAGATAGATAGATAGATCGATCGATCGATAGATAGATAGATAGATCGATAGATAGATAGATAGATAGATAGATAGATAGATAGATAGATAGATAGATAGATAGATAGATCGACAATTTTATTTAAGGTGAATGAAGGGGTTAAGTTTCTAAAGAAACTGTGGTGCTGCGTCGGTGGGAGATTGTAACAAGGTAATTTTGTATTTTCAACTGAAAATACTTTTTTTGAAAACAAAAATATATATGTGTATATATAGAAAACTGAATACTTCTCGTTTTTATATGCTTAAAAAGTTGCTGGTTACTGAATGTTATCCGGAAGCGAGAAATATTTCTTAGCCTCAATTTAAACCGTGTTTTGTGCCATTAACCTTTGTTAACGTAAGTACACTGTGGTCTCTTAAATTATACTTGTCTCTCCTTGATTTCGTTATATCGCCTTAACTAGTTAATGCAAGGCCCTGTAAACAGCTAGTTATTGTTGAATGGATGCCAAAATTATTCCTAGTCACTTCATGCCTCAGAAACTAGAGGCCTGTTTCTCGAAGGTCCCAGTCACTTCACGGGCCCTTAAAGCTGTTCTGTGGTCATTCAAGATGGGGGTCTCAAAACTGTTGAAAATTTTACAATAAAACTATCAGATAAAGGAACAAAATAGACTCGTTAGAATGTCAGAACCTGCTTCTGTATTCTTTAAATTTTGATATTGAAATAGGGCTTTGGGCGCATTTAGTTATTGGAACCTTCGAGAAACGGGCCCCAGGATAGGTAGAAATAGGGTCTGTGTTCTGAAATGGTGAACCTTTGAGTCGCATCAATCATGCTATGTCCTTTCTTTACGCGACAATATTTTCTCAATCTTTCTCATGAGAAAACTGAGCAATGCACGTTTGAAATTGGTTGCAGACCACGTTGTTCCAGACGAAGCTTCTCAACGCAAGCAACCCATCATCAATTCTGATAAACGAAACAAGTCACTCACTCAACACCGACTTGACAAAGGCGCCGTCCTTCTTTGGCACAGGAAACCATGCAGCTACACTTATGGATGTCAATGGTAAATACATGAAATGTATGATTCGATTTAGGCATTGAGCTACTGTATTTCTTTATTTTTTCCAAACTTTCCCCGATCCTGAGGCCACTATGCATGATATTAAAACAATGTGAGTGAAAGAATAATTAGAATATGTAATAGAGAAAATGAGTTGTTCAAATGTGGTGATGGTTACAAACAGTTCCACCGAAAATCGCTGATGAGCAGAAGAACGAAAGATGTAAGCAGCCCAGGTAAAAATAAATGGTCTCTGAGTCCAGTACATTCTTCCCGGGAATTAAGTTCGGGCTTACACTTTCCGATATAAAACCAATCGAATCGTCCATTTGATCAACATGCTACTGAAGGACAACCTCAAACGTTCACTAAATACATAAAAAATTTTTATTAAGCAAGAGTACACAGTGACCCGACTGTGGCCGACTCCTTTTTTTCGTTTTCATGACTTGAGACATTCTGGCGTGGTCCATGTAGAGGCCAGGAAAAAATTTATCGAGGCTAACGTTGGTCATCTCTAATCCAACAGGCTTGTTCAACAGACTGCGTTTTGATTGTGTATCTTAATACCAAGCCAAAATTACCACAACAACCACTAAGAAAAATTGAAAAAAAAAATCACGAAGAGCCAACCAGAACTCAGGGAAAAAAAACACAACATACAAAGCGCGGGGAAACGCGAGCGAACTAGTTATGATTGTTCAGTTTTGTATCTAATTGGTGGGAAGCGTGGTGCGAGTCTTCTAGACCAATCACAAAGCCCGCTGAAGCAGAGCCAACGTAGTTATGGTTCCTTTTGATACTTAACTGAAAATTGCTTTAAATGAAATGCCTTACGGCCAAAACATCACGCCGAAGAATTATAAATCAAATTGGTTGCTTCGATTTGAAATTTACCCGGTCCTGCCTTAAGGCTCTGTAACATTCTTAACGCCTAAGCCCCCCTCTCCAATGATTGTCAAAAAATGATAAATAATGATTGGTCCCTTAAATGAGAAATGTGAAAACTTGGTTTGTGTTTTAAGTCTGGTTCTTGTAGACTGATTGGTCAGTTTTGCCGTGATACTATAGGATGCAAGACTCAAGTAGCTCTTTTGGGTTGTGATCGTTCAGTGTCTAACTGTCGGTGACGGTGACGTCATAACTGCTATTTTGCTTTTCTGTAATGAATATGAGTTTAGGATTCTAATTACATATATCTAAATCTTGCTGTGAGGTCTAACGTGACCTCTCCTTTTGGTAATTATGCTTGTGTTTATGACACTATTATTTTACTAAAAATAATAGAAGTTTCATTATTCTCTCATTTTTAAAAATTTAAGGAAACACTTACTACATTCCCGACGCGCATAACCAGGGACTTAATGTGAAAATTGGCCTGCAAAATTCCAGAAACCAAAGAGGTTCAAGGGCTACATCGGCTCGGTACGCGACCGCATGGCTCAACCATGGAGTGAACCCAACGGACAAGGGTTATGAATACACCATATTGGTTAACAGACCCTCAGAAGAAGTCCGGGTAGGAATTTTAGAGTTCATTAAACGATTCCTTCAAGCATGCGCATTTAAACAATTAGCTCTCAGAAGTGTTGCATGTGTAACTTCTTGCAATTTCAGTAGATAGTCTGGAAACAGGTGATAAGAATACACAAGGTCATCAGCTATACTGTAGACTGCTATTTTTCCATGACACCTAATTCATTACCATAAAATGTATGGCAGTCAGTATTGTGAATTTCGTACAGGATCTTGGAAGTTAAGTTGCTTTTATCAGCAAGTATTTGTTGACAAGTGGACTGGAAACGAAACAGTTGTATCTCAGTGGTCGCTTTTCAAGAAGCATTCCTTCTTCGCTTCTAAGCCAATGGATTTTTACCGAAAATCTGGCGAAATAGGAAATTGTGGGATAGATAAGCACACACGTTAAGCATTCTTATGTACAATGTTTTTTGTACCAAATGATCCAGTCTCGCATGGAAAGCCACATTCCTAGCCTTTTTATTTTAACAGGGCTCAAATAGCCTTGAGCAATATTACGATTATTTTTTCTTTTTGATCTTGCAATAACATTTTGCTGTTCATAATTTGAAAGACTTTGGCCGAAAATCAAGCTAGTGGCAGCTACTGGTATCAAGTACTTCAGAGAGACAATAAGGCTCACGTGGTGAAGATCAATAATTGCCCGAGGCAGGGTGAGACACAGTATGGATACGTTTTTTTTGACAAATCTGTCCGTACCTCGGGTCCAGTAAGGCGCGTCACAAAGGTAAAACTTGTCATGGTGTGGTCTAGCTTAGATAGGAGTAAAAACAGAGTTGGTTTAACGAGACTAACATAGAGGACGAAATTCGCGAATATATGGAGCGTCTCCTTTTGCTAAAAGAAAAGAAAGACTTAAAACGTTTCTTTTAAAAAAGGCATTTTGTTCATGTTTTTTTCTTATGGCTAGTTGGTTGGTCCTGATTTAAATTTTAATATGCATTAATTGTTATGCATTGTTTGTCAAACTGTTTTTACAAGTTTTGAATTTTCAAAGGCATTGTAAGTCGCAGTTTACTATGTGTATAGAACTATTATTTTTTCTTATTATTTATTATTATTATTATTTATCATTGGTTTCCTGCTGTTCAGTAAGGTATTTTTACCATGGGATTTTCAAATTCCTGTTGAAGCTCTATACCTTGGAAAAAATTATGCGTAGAAATATAATGCTAAGTTTCAACTTTTCTTTTTAGAGAGGCATTTTTTGGTGTTTTTTTCTTAGAGCTAGTTATTTAGTCCTGATCTTAAATCTTAATATCCTATAACTTTTATAAACTAATTGTTTGCAGAACTGTTTTTAGAAGTTTTAAATTTTTATTTTAAAAGGCGTCGTTAGTCGCAGCGGAATATGTTTATACAAGTATTAATTATTATTGTTCATTTCTTATATATTACTTTTATTTATTATTAATCATTTTTATTCGTAAGTTATTATTATTATTACTATTATTAATATTTATCATTTGTTTCCGGATTTTCATAAAGGTTCTTTTACTATAGGGTTTCCAAATCCCTTTTGAAGATTTAAAGCATGGAAAAAATTGTGTCTAGAAGCGTTTTTTTTTTACCAAAAGGCACATAATTCTCCGTTTCAACACTGTTTCATCCTTCCAGTATAATTCACCGTCACAAAAGAAGGAAGAAAGTTTAATTAGATAGGGACAGAAAGCCTAAGAGCTGCTGTCCAAATTTCTAAAGGCTTTGTTTCTTTGTTCCTTTGATGTAAATATATATGCATCGATCGTAACCTTTTTGATGGAAAAAAAGGCATATTTACTTCATATGCATGGCAGAGTGCCACGTTATTGAAACTTGAGTAATATGTATGTAGTATAATCTAAAACTGTGGATAGCATTGAAGGCGCGCTCTGATTGGCTACTCAAGCTCGAAATATCCTTCGCTATTCTTCAGAGGAACTCGCACCAGATTTGCGGCAGGAAACATTTTAATCGTTTCTGGAACAAATTGGTTTAAATCATATTTTTGTCCTATTTTGCTTCAGTCTCGGCGGTTACCAGTAGATAGCCACCTCCATTTAGGTGCATAGTTATTAAATATATTTGTTTTAAGTTTATGTAAAGTAAAATTTCTTTTTGGTCATTTCTGGACGTGATATGGTTTTTGTATAAATAAATATCGATTGATCTGCGGTTCTTCTGATATTTTATCTCACAGGATCCTTGCATTGTGATGGTTGAAGAAGTGGATACCCAAAACTTGTACATTGCAGTCTCTTATCCAAATCTAAATTTCAACATCTCCAGGACTTTGGATTGGGGCAGTCAGGTCAATGGGCAAGAAAGGTTTTATTCTGTTAGCACACCGATTGACATAGAGGTAATCTGAAAACTGATATTCCTTCTTTTTTTACTTCTTTTTTGAGAATACTGTTGGTTCTTGCAGCCTGATTGGCTGTTAGTAGTTTGATTATTTACAAATGACACAATTGTTAAATGATTTCTATAGATAGTCACATGATTTCAAGTGCAATTTGGACTAAATAGGGAGGAATAAATTTCATCAAATACTAACAAAATTGCACGAGCCCGTAGATGTTTTGTATGAAGAAAGCGTTTTTCAGTTCATTTCCCTAAAAACATCATTAAAGTTATTATAACGACCGATTTGAAAGAATGTGCTTGTCACTCGAAACCTGTGAAAAATCAAAAGAAACTGAAACATACGAACCTAAGTGCGACCAAGTCGAGATTGATTTTCCTTTTGATCTAGTGATTTAGAAGGAGGAGTGAGTTTTCGGGACCTTCACAGTTCAATAAAATAATAGCAACACAATTCATAATTACACTCGTCTCTTAGAGCAATTTTCAATTGAGTGTTGAAAGTAACCTGGAATTGCATTGGGTTTGCTTTAATTTGATTTGTGATTGGTCCAGAAAACTCGCACTACTCTCTTAACTAATTAGATGCAAAACGATTCGGTCGCCGCGTGTTCCCGCGCTTTTAGCGGTTTGCTTGTTTTTTACTTTGAGTTCTGATTGGCACTCCTGGACATTTTTCTTTCTTCCGATTGTCCGTTGTAATTGCTTTGGTTTTGGTTCAACAACACTCATTGGAAAAGCTCTCCAAACGAACGGCTCTAGATTTTAACCTCCAATAATGATTTATCTCAGGTGAGAGTGATCAATGCGGTGAATATAGCAACTGGAGATGTGAGAGTAAACGGAGAGGTTGTCCCAGACACCAATAAAACAAATCACGTGATGGTGAGACCAAAATCAAGCGGTGCAACTACAGGGCGTGCCATCGTGTTTAAACAGCTGTCCAAGGGGTTCACTACAGAAGTCAAACTTACTCGATAGTTGCCTTGACGGCATATGCATTTTTTTCTCTTTAGATTGATAATAAGACTCTTTGAATGAATTAAACGATGTTAAGCGAAGTTAAATTTGCTAAAGCGTTATAGAGTGCTTGTCACGTAAATGTAAAGCTGAATAGTAGAATGGAAATCAAAAAATAAACGTTTGACCAAAACCAAAAATTAAAGTTGTTCTCTCAGTTTTAAACCGATAGTACACTTTAAAACGTCTAAATCTTAGCCTTGAATACTGTTAAAACCGAAGACCAATGCTAAGAGTAATCTTTAAGGGGGACTGTTGCGTGACATTGAAAAGAACGACCGCGTGGGAGACTTTACTGTGGAACGTCACTGCGACTTGAAAAGTCTCAGGACACTCAAGGTGGCCGGAAACAATTTTTTTAGTCCTACCAGCTACTTTTAAAGCGTTCAAAAACCTCAGACTTTTCCCTCTTCGCAGTGAAACCAATTTCACCCATGTGTTGACTTAAGGATTATAGATTGAATTAGTGGGCGCTATTATTGTGCTAATGTTATGGGCAAATCTTGTCAAACAGCTCTTTGGGACGAGCTCGGAAAATCCTCACAACCTCAGGATTTTTTTTTAAGAAAAGGCCTCGCCTGGGAGCGACTTTTACCAAAATAGCCGGTGGTCAGAGCATAGGAAAACTGTTTCCAGCCACCTTTAACGGTAAAACTGCACCTCCTCCCCACCTTTAGTGCGTGTATGCGTGTGTGCGTGCGTGTATGTATGCGTGTGCGGTAGGGGAGCTTACCACAGCAAAAATCATTCGCTATTCGAAGGCAGTCCTTCTGTATCTTTTCAAAACCTACAGTTCCCTTAATTTCTGATGTGAAATCACGTAGAAATTTGGCAGCCTAGCTCTTTGTTTCGGCTGCTGCTTATCATCCCTTTTTGTGAAAATTCCAAACTTATTGACTACGTAATTGAAGGGGTAGGTGCCGTTGTTCATACTTGTAGGCACTTCTGAATATATTGCCTGGTTGGACACATTAGAGGCCTCTAGGATAAACACCATCCTGGTATAACTGCCGCCTGAAAATATATTAATTTTCTTACGCAGCATTGTCTCCTGTTGTCTCTGCAGAAGGTTCCGTGAGGTCTTATAATGGGTGACAGCCAACTAACTCAGGTAGTGAGCCCTTTCCTTTGTCATAAAGACCTAAACGAATTCAAACGCCACGTTATATCCTTTAATGGCTTATAGAAGGGGATTGGGCAAAGCTATGACATAAATATTGCCCGTGTATCAAAGAATAGATAAGGTGGCGTGGACTTGAACTCAATTCGTACACAAGACTCTCTGAGCCACGAGTGGCCGAAAATTGAATGATAGTCAAATTAGCAACGTTCACACTAGTTCTCGTGAGATAACTAATAAGCCATACATGAGTTCAAACTGCGAAAGTATTGTCAAAATTACGACTACTGACTAATTAAACAAAAAACTATGATGCCTAGACGAACACCTCAGATGCTGAATTGGAAAAATCAAAAATCTTCTTGAACAGAACTTCAAAGTTGGGGCAAACAACAAGCTATTGGGTGAAGAAGATACTCAACGAAGCAACTTGGAAAGTAAATACGTAAGCTTAACTCTTGTGTTAAAAATCCTGATTCTTTAATTTGTTTTTACTGTGTTCGATAATTGCCAGGTATGGTTTGATGTTTGATATTGCGATACGAAATCCTAGTAAACGCTCTCGGAGCTTCCAGTTTCAACAAGTGAGTCGTCTTAAGTTGTCTAACAAAAAACAATGTGACAAGTGAAAAGTAATTCATTCCCGGATAAAAAACGTTGGATGGAATGTAATTTTAAATAATACATAAGATAGGTTGAAATTTTACAGTATTAGCTCAGCGTACTTACTCCTTTTTACGCGACGCGTGATTGGTGAATGAAATTCTCCATGATGCATGATTTAATAGAAAAATTCAGTGTGTTTTGTGATTGGAACCTCCCTGTGCCAGCCTCTTATAAGCCGACCGAGACCCTTCAATTTACGCACTTCGCCTCGTGCCACCCACCAGGCATAAAATATGGTTGCCTTAAAGGCAAGCAATAAGATTTCCTAGAACTAACTCTTCGAAAAAAAAAATTTTGAAGGGGGCTGTTTGAAATTCAAACAACGCCTCAAAGAAGGAGGGTACCCAGAAAACATCAAAGAAAGGTCTCAGTTAGAGTCAACTTTGTCTCTTGATAATCTGCCCTTAAACATACACAAAAGCTGAAAGGTCAAGAATGTTTATTGCCTTTTGTCACAATGTACCACCCGGCAATTAAAAATTTAAAACAAATATTGATGGATCAATGGAGTCTGATACACAATCAGCCCTTGCTGAAAACAAATTTTCCAAAACCTCCGATCATCTTTTACAAAAAGCGGTAGTCTCTAAGACATGCTTGTGAGAGCAAAAATATAATTTGAAGGTGGTTATGCGACGCGACTACGAAAGCCACATGGGAAGTCCTTGCCGGTCTGTCTTTACCTTTATTCTCATATCGTGTCGCCGCGACTTATCGCTTGTATCCACTTTTCTCTCCTCTCTGTTGTCAATTCTTCTTCGAAAGAAGAATTTGATAACTGATGGTATTCGATGAAATGCAATCCCTTGGTTCCGATCACTTCTGCTGCCGCAGCCGAAAACTAAACAAAGAACCATTTCTACTTTCTCACTCACACTTTACCTCCTTTTACAGGAGGCGCGGTGGCCTCATGGTTAGTGCGCTCGACTCCGGTCGAGTGGTCCGGGTTTCGAGCCTTAGACGGGGTCATTGTGTTGTGTTCTTAGGCAGAAACTTTACTCTCACAGTGCTTCTCTTCACCCAGGTATACAAATGGATACCAGCAAATATGCTGGGGGTAACCCTGCGATGGACTAGCATCCCATCCAGGGGGGAGTAGCAATACTCCTAGCCGCTTCATGCTAAAGAAATCGGAGTTAAGCGCTGGTCCCATGGGCCACTTTGGCCTGTATAAAGGCTTTACTTTACTTACTCACACCATACTACAAGCGCATTTGTAACTATTTCCTTAGGCACCAACATGGCGGATAGCAACCGTCTTTAAGACAAAAGTCACACGGGTGAAAACCAAGAATAGGCCACCGAGCTGGACCATCGTTTCCGTAAAATTTTCATTGATAAGCAATTTAGAGATTTAAATATTTACTTATGACCAAAAAGCCGATGTGCACGAATGATGCGATATTTGTTTGCTTACCTATTTTTGACTTTTCCCCAGCAATTTTCAAAGAACACTCATGTCAACGTCACAAGATGTCTAGGAGACTTGGTGAAAAAGCCAGACAAAATATGAACAACGAATCCAGCCTCGAAACCAATGATAGTCCAAACCAGTTATATTTAACGAAAATGACACTGAAAAGATGGAGAGACATTGAGACATTTTCATGGAATTTTAAACTAGAACAAATCCTTGATCAAAGAAAAAGATGGGTCATATTTCAATTGATCTTCTTGAACGATGAGAGGTAAAAATTTCGGGACCGCTCTTCAAAGAAATAATTAGTGTGTTTACTAATTTCAACTTGTCCCTTCCAATCAAGAGTATTCATTCGAGGCCGTCTCTGATGTTTATGCCTTCAGTGTGCCAGCAACATCGACACTTGAGCAATCGTCTGTACGGTATAAAGATGGATCACATTCAATGAGGTGGACTTGGGCCAGTGGAGATACGTGACACATACCTTCTCCCCAGCAGTAAGTTTTAACCCTTTGCACCCTAACATCAGTATGTATTTTCTCCATTCTCTTCTCTAAACATTTTCCAAGGTAGGATCAAGGAGATTTCGATTAATAATCACGAGCTTACGATCATTTCCTTTATTCTCGTGTTCTTAACAAATGATTTAGCATTATTGCTGTAAGAAGAAATTAGATTCTGGTTTAAAGCGCCTATTGCCCCTTCTTTTAATTTTTTCAGATTTATTTATTTATTCACCTATTTTAATAATTTTTTAAAAATTATTTTTCAAAACAATATTTGAAAATAATTGTATTTTTTAATTGATTTTTTAAATTATTTTTTAATCAATCTTTTTAAAACTTTTTTTTAAATTGTTTATATAATTTTTAATTATTTTTTAATTATCTTTTTTAAATAATTTTTTAAATGTTAAAAACAATTTTTTAAAATTTTTTTAAAAATATTATTGAGCAGCACTCTGCGAGCAGTAGTTGTAAAACTTTTTTACTTTTTTTTTCAAAGTTGTGAAAAATTTGAAAATTTTTTGGACAAGATGAGAAAGATATTTTGGGGACCATGGATTTAGCTCTTTGGTTAACATCGCGCACTTTACAAATTCACACGTGGAAGCTCTTTACTTATGGAAAGATCTTTGCTCATGGAAAAATCAAAAGTGGAAGGTAGTCATTAGTAAAAAAATGGGCCCAAAGAAGAAAGAAAGAGTACCACTCTGTCAAGAAAAGAAAAAAAAATTCCTTTGAGAAAGCGACTAATGCTGGCGGAGCTCCACGCCGACGCAGATTTCGAACAAAGAAGTCGCCGTCAAACCAAACTTTGCCATACATCATGTTGAAAACTAGGTTTCTTTTTCGTTATGCAAGTATCAGCCAACAATTGCCGCGAATCGTAATTTGAAAAGCTGTCTGTCGATTGGTTGTCTGGCTCCTCAGCACATTTTGCGGCTTTTTCTATTTTTGCCGCGGTTTTGGCCTTTGCCATCGGCAACTATGCTCATTGTTGTGTCTTTCTCCTCGACGTTCCACTGAGCGATGGAGATTAAAAAAAGAAAACGTTTCTGCAATGAGTTACTTTTCCCGGGAAATCTTGATCTATCGTCAAAGACGCTTGAAGGTCAATTTTGCTCGTGCTGAGGCATCCGATACCCGATAAATTCAAGAAAAGAACCTTCTGTCGTTTCACGCATTATCGGCCTCTTAAAAGAAAAGTCGCTTAAATGATATATTTATCGTAATCTGCAGTTATTAAGCTTTCCTCTCATGTCTAGTTTGCCAGGATTTTATCGAAACTAGGGCGTGTACGAATTTTTTCCCGAAGGACACCCGCGAAGGTGGGAAGTAACCTTAGGCTTCCTATTTGTATTAACGACAGTTGCATTTCTTTCCTAGATCTTTGTCCATACAGTAATAATTCCTCAAGCGTGCTGCAGTTTTCTGCCTTTCAGAAGCCTCTTAACAAATATTTATACATACCCTTCGAGTCTTTTTAACCCCCTGGCAACAAGAAAAAGTTTATGAAAGGGGAACTTTTTGGTCATTGGCCCCCGTACAGCCGCCAACTATGGCTAATAATCACAGGCGTTTAGTTTTAACTTGTAAAACTCCCTGAAGAAGTCTACGACAGTTAGACGAAACGCATCGGAAAATAAAGAAGTTTTACAACTACCGTTCGCAGAGTGCTGCTCACTAGTTCAGTTTTTGAAAAAATAATTTAAAAAGTTATTATAAAAAATTAATAAAATTGTTAAAAAAATTAATTAAAAAATTGAATTAAAAATGATTAAAAAATGTTTAAACAAATTGTTAAAAAATAATAAGAAATATATTTTTCACAACTTTGCCTGTTCCTTTTCGTATGTCCGGCCAAGCCTTTATGGTCACTGGCCCCCGTATAGCTGCTAACTATGGCTCATAAATACAGGCGTTTAGTTTTAACTTGTAAAACTCCCTGAAGAAGTCTCCGACAGTTAGACGAAACGCATCGGAAAATAAAGAAGTTTTACAACTACCGTTCGCAGAGTGCTGCTCGCTAATTCAGTTTTAAAAAAAATATATTTAAAAAATTATTTAAAAAAATTAATAGAATTGATAAAAAATTATTTAAAAAATTGTTGTAAAAAAATTGAAAGAAAAAGAATTAAAAACATGAAAAAAAATTGATAAAAAACCAAAAAAATATTTAATAAGTGAATTGAAAAAATTATCAAAATAATTGAAAAATAACAAAGTAATTAAAACAATTGTAAAAAAAAATAATTAAAAAATATTTAATAAATGAATTGAAAAAATTAACAAAATAATTAAAAAATAACAAAAAATAATTTAAAAAATTTTAAAATTATTTAAAAAAATAATTAAAAAAATTGTGAGATAACTTTGCTATAAATAAGGGTGTAAAGCATGAGTGTTTTATGAAAATGAATCTTCACTGAACTGAGGATCAAACATTACAGAGGGATTGTCAGGAACAAAAGGTAGGTTTGGCACCATTATTTCCTGTAAGGAAAGTGTTCAAACAACTGTAAACAAAATAGTACAGAAGGCGAAGTGCTACACTAGTGATATTCATTGCTTTTATATCAAATTCGTAGAAAACTCAAGCTTCACGTTTTAGAACTGAAAATGTGACCCAGAAAAGAACACTTGCCTTATTCTTGTTTAAGTGTGATATTATATTTATAAAACTGGTAAGATTTGGTCATCTTAATAGGGGAATTATGCATCGGGCATAAGTACTTTGTTTCCTCGTGTCAATCTTTTAACCTGATGCTTTGTTCAGTTTTTCTCGTGAAACGTATCATCATCACTGCAACGCCAGATGGTCCAATTTACTTAAAAAAATTTACGATGTATATATATTTGTTTTACTCAATGTTTATATTTTCTCTTTTCATACAGGAGAATGTTACGTCTTGTCCTATTTGTGACCTTTGTCCTTTCACTCTTAAAAACCATCGAGGGAGCCAGAGGTAACAGTTTAAAAATCTATCGACTCAGTTCATCCATAAGTGTATTTTAACTTAGATCAGAGCCACTTTGCTTCTCGTGAATTATTATTGAAGTATTCAGCATTTGCAACTTTTTGAGTAAGTCTTGAAGACACCTCAATCGTTGATTTCCTCTTGGTTTTGCTTTCAGGAATCTTCTTTATTTAATTAAAGCGGGAAAATTTCCCTTGTCGTAAATCGGCACCAATGTGTTATGGAGAGCTTTGTTGTAGATTGAGGGGGAGAAAAACGTCTTTTAAACATTTTTTAAATACCAAGAGCAAACTTAAGGTGATTCCTTAAAAAAAAATTTTGAACGGTGTTTTTAAACTTTCCTTGAATTATCCCGATCAACCTCTGTTCAAGAACTATGGTATATAAGATGGATCACCATGTGTTCTTATGAGATGTAATGCCGGACCAACCTTCACTTTTGCCTGTATTGGTACTAATCATGCGCGCACTATATAATTTATGAGAAAATCACGCAATTTCAAACGACATCCACGCAAAACGTTCCTCGAGTTGTTCCTTTCAAGTTCACAGTTTGCATCCTTGAGTTTTTCTCTTTCTGATATTTTTTTTTATTTAATTCTTAAAGGGGATAATTTGTACTTGTAGATTATGCAATACAGATAATAGCAGAGCTCGCAGCGCGCGCAGCGTAGCCTCATAATTATACGAAATAGTGGTAACTCATCAAGCCGAAAAATTTGAACTTGACACCATACGACGGACCGTACAAGGTGCTACTTTTAGCATGCGCTGCCAACTGTACTGCGGGCATTATCTGAGCCATAACGTTATTGAAGGGCGAGGGAGAAGGTAAAACGATTGCGTGCGTAACTTGCATACCCCATTAGTGTGCACCAGGAGACACCGGCAGATGGCAATGTAGTGCTCATACTCGAGTGCCGAGCTTCAGTGTACACGAGGGCTTCACATGGGCCAATATATGTAAAGCCACGTAAGCAAATAATTTGCAACCCGCGTATTGAGCGTGAAATCAAACCGGTGAGGTTGTAGTTGAACAGTAATTCTCAGTATTTTGCAATTTCTAATTAATTCGCAAAGCAACAATACCGGCAGAGCTAAAGCTTTGTCAACCGAAGGAAATTAATATAATTCAAGCTCGTTCAGAGAGCGTTTTGAGTGAAAATAAGCTGAAAAGAAAGAGACAGAGCGACCAAAGAAAGCAAGAAGCAAAAGGCGTAAAGCAAGTCGAGAAAAACGCGCAAGAAAGTCAGAGAGGTCACCAAAATAGCAAGATAAAAAATGCCCTAGCTTTACAGGTTTTAGGTTTTGTCCACCTGGTTGCCGTGTGAACTTTAAAATAAGAGAGTTGTGCAGGCCATATCTTACTTTTTATCCTCTCGATATTTATTCAGATAACATGGTCACTATCAGTGTCATTCACTCTCACTTTCCACTAAGCTTTTGGAAGATGATAACCTCTGTCAGTATGTCTTTAAATGAAGAAAGGAAAGCCTGCCTTCTTGGCACAGATAGTTTTGTTCTTTATCAATACAAACCTGGTCTAATTTGTACATGAGGGTGATTGTTCTAGCTAGTTTAGCCTTATAAATTAGTTGTGAAAATTTCTTGAACCCGTCATCGTATGAACGTTTGAATCAATTTTATCTCACTAACCTACATGTGAACTGAATAAATAGAAACTTGAAATTTATTTGTTCTCCTTTTGAGGTGTGCATCAAAATTTTGAAGTCATTGCAGGCTTGAACTACAGGTTTATAGGAAATCAGCGTGTGCATGTGTTTTCAACATGTAAAACCGAGATTATGACTAATACGAATGACTTTAATCATGCCGCACAGGTACAGGCAGGTGTTTTAAAAACGTTTGCTGAGCTTTTTCTTTAGTACACATTTCTTTTTCTAAGAATCTCTGAATTCTAATTTTTCAACCAAATTTTATCTTCTGTTGGCAATTCGTAGATCTCCTACTATCAGTTAATATTCATGTATTTAAAATAATTTCATGAAATATTGCAAATGTATGGCACATTATTTTTTTCCTCCGATCCTTCTAACATTTTATTATCCGTAGGGGTTAGTATCGGCCGTAAAATTATTGTCAAATTAAAGCTTTGTGCACAGCCTATGCATCAAATTTATGTAATAAAATATTGTATCCTTCGTAAAACTACTTCATCAGAATAAGAATGAGTAACCAGAAACAAGTGCGGCTTTCACGATGATAGTTTCCAGGTTTGAAAAAGTCACTTATTACTAAAATCCTCAGTTCCATTGCCCTGATAGCCCGACCTCATCAAAACATTGCCAACAGAGGCAAGTAGCAAATTAATGATACAGTCAAGAGAGCCTATTCCAACATACACCTTCATTAATCCTGTTAACTTATTATGGACATAGCATTTCAAACATGTATATGCCACAAATTTTCCATTTCCCTCACTAATTATTTTGTAGTGGTGTTCACAAGTTGTGGAAAACGGTTGGGTTGAAATACAATACCTACTTGCCAGTAGATCAATAAAATTTGTTGCGTTTCATACTAACCCTTTCACTCCCAGATCAAATTTATAATTCTCCTAACTGTCAACCACGCAATTTTTAGAATGTTAGTTCAGAGAATTTGGTATTGGATCAACTAATTAACACCAAGTTGACATTTTTCTTTTTTCTCATCACCTATCTGGTTAATATTGGATTTATATTGTAAGGGGAAAGTCTGTCTTGGTCACTCATAGGAGTTAAAGGGTTAACATGTTGCAACAACTCCACCTTCCAGTAAATTCAATTATTTCCAAACATGAGAAAAAAACACCTAAAACTTTTCAACCCATTCAATAATAGAAGCCAAAAAAGTCAACTCAACATTTAACCTAGAGAGAAAACTTGGTTGATGTTTGGAATTGATTTCTGTGGTGTGGAAATGAAATCCTTGTATTATCTCAAGTTATCTTAAGACATTCACATTATATGCATTACAGCAGAGGTAACCAAATTAAATAACTGAAAAAAAAATCTGAAAAAGACGCCGTGTGTTTCCAGCCAGAGGACAATCATGAAATAGGAATAGCCAAAAGAGAAGGAGTTTAAAAAATTACAGGTTAAAACACGAGTTGAAAAGTAGTGTTCTTTTTAATTTTCTACGCTAAACAGAGGAGGTTGAAACGTCAGGGAAAAATGGTGGGGCAAGCAGTCTTACCTGGCAACTTCAAGGAAAGATATAAGAGAAGTCCATACGATTCAGGCGTATTGTTTTACTGACTCACTGTTCTCACGTGAATACTCTTCAATCAACCAGTAATGTCTCAACGCGTAGTTTACCGTCGTTTCTTTAAATTTTGGCTCATTTTCCCATACCGAAATTATAAGTCACGCTAATTAGAATATAATTTCAGCTGATACTCACATCAAAAACACTTCATCAGAAGAAGAAAACATTCCCTATCTTCGAAAACTTGCTCAAAACATCAGGAACTACAACGAAAGTCCCAAGCTTTTTGAAGATACCGCTGATTAGCATGCGTGTTGATCGCCTTGCAAGTTGCGAGAACATCGTTCCCCAGGTTCCAGACCTCGTCTCATTATTTTCCCCCCAACCTCGGACTGGTCCCTAAATCCCCTTGAAGAAACTCTTCTACAACCATTCCTGAATAGTTTTATCACAGTTTTTATTCAGTATAATGAGGGGTTGGAAAATAAACTAACAAAAGCTCCGCTTTTAGGCTTGGCTAAATCTATGTATTAATTATAGGCCACCGTGCACGACCATCCTACCTGCTTACATAATTCTGTAAATTTTCATTGATAAGCAATTTAGAGAGTTAAATATTTACCTATAACTTAGGTTTGTATTTCCCAGAAACACCCCATTTGCGCAAATGGTGGGATATTTGTTTGCTTACCTATTTTTGACTTTTTCCGAGCAAGAGAATCGTCACAAGATGTCTAGGAGACTTGGTTAAAAAGCCAGACAAAATGACAACAACGAATCCAGCCTCGAAACCAATGAAAGTCCAAAACTAGTTATATTTAACGAAAATGACCCTCAAAAGATGTATCATTGAGACATTTTCATGGTATTTTAAAGTATAAAAAAATCCTTGATTAAATAAAAGGGTGGGTTACATTTAAAAATCCCTGATCAACTCTCGGGACTGCTCTTCAAATTATTATTTAGTGTGTTTATTAATTTTCACTTGTCTCTTTCAATTAAGAGTATTCATTTGAGAACGCCATTGATGTCGATGCCTTCAGTGTGCCAGCAACATCAACACTTGAACAATCGTCTGAACGGTATAAAGATGGATCATATTCAATGAAGTGGACTTGGGCCAGTGGAGATATAATGAAACATACCTTCTTCCCAGCAGTAAGTTTTAACCCCTTGCACCCTAACATTAGTATGTATTTTCTTCATAATCTCCTCTTAACATTTTCCAACGTAGTGTCAAGGAGATTTCGTTTAACAATCTCGAACTTACGATGATTTCCTTTATTCTCGTGTTCTTAACAAATAAGTCAGCATTATTACTGAAAGGAGGAATTAGATTCTGGTTTAAAGCGTTTATTGCCCTTTCTTTCAACTTCCCAGATTTATTTATTTATTCCACTATTTTGAGCACATTTAAAATTTGGCCTTAAATCTTCAACTAAGTAAATAATTTAACATCTTTGCAAATTTGTTTTGTCAACCTAGTAAATTAGCAACCCCCACCCCGCCCCCCAAATGAATTAGTGATAAAAATGCAATTTGTTACCTAGTGAAAGATAACCTGAAAATATTGGTGCATAGTAAGTAAAAAGAACCCATTTTAAAGCTGCAAATGTATGCCAGGTTTGTGTTCAAGAGTCTCTTTCATGTGTTATATAAAAATAACGGAGATCACAAACTAACTGCAACATACATTTCAGATTTCAGGAAATGAGCTTAAAAAGGGAGGGATTAAGTTGTGGCTTTACAACACTAATCCACTTGCAGGAGAGAACTTGACTGTCTCTTTCCAAAATAATGCGCCCACCACTGTTACTGTATCACAGTTCAACATTAAGCTGAATTTTAAGGTGAGGGGTAACGTTGCAAAACAGCTGTTAAATTCCTGTGATGAAATTCAATCTTGCGAGTGTGTATTAGATTGCCTTTGTTCACCTTGATGATATGTATAAGCATGCTTTCAAGTCTTGTAGAGGTATCTTTTATTAATGCGGCATTTATAACCACGGCATTGGAAATGTTTTACAGCACCAATGTAAAACATTGATTTTTATTTACATTTGAAATATGATCGTGTATTATTGTATCTCTTAGCTCTCTATTTGAACTCAGAGATATAGTAAATAACTTACTGACCTCATTTTCTTGGACTGCGCTGTAAGTTACGGAACCTTATCTTTTCGGCCATGTACGGGCTATAAATCTGAGCTGAAAAATTTTATCGGTAACGTAGTGTACGGTCCTCAGACTTGGTTAGTAAGGGGTATGTACGGATTACTTGTTAACAGTGTAAATAAATATTATAGCAAAATGCTAAGATAGCACACTATATTGATAGCTTTGGGGGATGGTTATTTCAAAGAAAGGGACAGAGGAGGACAGCAACCTCCTTAGCAACAAGAAGGTTATTAAGGCTACCAAACCACAGTCCACGTCCAAACATCTGTCAACACGACACCAAAATACATGTGTATGGAATGAATACTTATCCAAACTATTGGGGGTAAAAAGGAGTAGGAAGGTAAACAACAAAAGCAATGGAGCAAAGCCGCAATTGAAAGCAAATTGAGTAAAATCACGGGCATTACAGAAGTTTCAATAACTTTTTCCATTAGCTGCTGATGATGATGTAATAGACAGCTGTGCCTGGAAAAGGGCTAGAAGGCAAAACTCAAATGCGAGAGCCTGTGCATAAGCCTTTAACTCCCAAGATCTGATTGTTGATTCTCCGCTCTAGCTGCAACACATTTCCTTGTAAATTAGTTATGAAAATTTGGTGTGCGATTAAGGCACCTGATGAGTTTGAGTATTCTCACCACCTGTTTGCTAGATAATATATGAATATTGAAGAGAGAAGTTTCATGCTAATCACTTCTGGGAATCAAAGGGCTAAAGCGGAGGTAGACTGCTGGCAGCCGGCTTTAATTGAAACCCCTGCTATGTTCAGGAGGCATTAACCTCCCTGGGTACTGTCATGTTATAATTGAAGCTAACTACACAATAATCACATTACTCTTTTCATTTGAAGGGGTGGCGTGGTGTGTGGGTATCCTATAAAGAAGCTATCCAGACTGAAAACAAAGATATTAATGTTATGTGCATAACTGCTCCCACAACCAGACATCATTTGTATTTTGATGTCTTGCGCTTTGTAAGTGACGTCAGAAGGCAAAGTCGTGACAAAGTGGTACCAACGTTGGATCCAAACCTTTACTCTATCAACGACTTCTGGCAGCAAACCTATCGCTGGAGTCAGGTATGTTTGAACAGCATCATGATGTTTTTGTTGGTTTTGTGTTAAAATATATCTAATAAAATAAAATGAAACGGGATTTAGCAGTGGAAATTCTACGAGTTGGCTTTTCTTGTCAAGTGTTTCCAGGTCGAATTGGAATTAAGAATGTTGGTTTTTGGGGAGGGAGGAAAAGTAGAGGTCTGGGAGAAAAACCCTTGGAGCAAGGATGAGGACCAACAAAAAACATAACACACATGTGACACCAGGTCCTGAAATCAAACCCAGGCCACAGTGGTGAGAGGTGAGCCCTCTCACTACTCTGCCATTCCTTCTCCCCTGCTTCTCTAATAATAAACATAGGCATGCTGTACATACAAGAGTTATTTTACTGGAGTGGGTGGATTACTTGAAACATTGTGAGTGATATCTACATTTTTACAAACGGAAAGAAGAGTATGAACGTGGAAAAGAACGAAAATGTCGAATTAGCTCACACACAGGTATTTTGTGGTAGATTATGTGTGTTGTGCAAATAACTGTAACCAAAAAGAAATTGTATTGGTGCCACGTATACCTGTTAGTACAAAATGCAGACTGCAGACTGGATAAAAAATGTAGACCAGGTACAAAATGTAGACTGCAGACTGCAGAGAGGGTACAAAATACAGACTGAGAATCTAAAGAGCTTTTTTGTCTGGTATGTGATAACATGTCATCTCGCAACTTACCGAGCGTCACGCAATCGCTTTTCCGCGATCAGCTTTCACGATTATTTGCACTATGGTGGAATATTCCTGGCCCATTTCTTGATCAAAATCGATCTTAATATAATTTCAAGCCTTTATATAGTATTCGCGAGTCGGTTGGTGTGATGTCTGTACAGATTTTACCAACGCAATAAAAGTAGATGTAGATGTAGATGTAAATGAGATGTAACTATTGGAAAATTAACACGCGCAACAGTCGAGAAACAATTGACAGCTTTGCACGTGGTCCGTATTATCATCTTTTTAAGCGGTATGTGTTTATTTTGTTGACAAAAATGCGGACCGAAACCAAAACTGTTCTTTTCACTTGATATATTTTCGAAGTTAGTAGATCACATCATATTAACTTACCTCCGTAAATCATTCATTCCAGATAAAAAAATCAAATAAACATGGTGACGATGGTATCTGAATTCGTTCTCGGCCAAACACAAAAATAAAGTGTTTAAAAGCTGTCACTGATTTAAATAGCTATGATGCTGATATCTACTGATAAACAGAAATTACACTATGGTCTGCTTTTGCATACAAATTTATGTTCTTCTTTTAATGATCAAATATCTCTCACTCTAAGAAAAAACTCACATCCATGTACAGCCAAGTAAAATACTCCATACATATCTCTTTTAGGTACCACCACCAGAAATTTCTAATACCACACCCAGTCAAGACAAATTGGAAAATATGACCCTCATTGAAAAGCGACTGGAGAATTGGTTCGTTAATCAGTCTCAGAGCATAGCCCAGTTTCCGACAAATGCAAGGAAGAGGTGGCAGTCTTTACAGAAGCAAGTGTTCAGTGCCTATATTCAGTATGGACAACTAAATATTAATAAAAGCCAAGGTGTCATTACAGGTAACCACATGATAATAACTAACCTATGACTTTTTTAGTCAAATTCTGAAAATTCTGAATTTTTGTTTAGTGGCCTAGGGTTGAAAAGAATAATTTAACCACTTAAGTGAAGCTTTAAAAGTTAACTAACTGTTTAAAAATTGGAAATGACATCCCTTCGGTAATGATTTTTTGAAACTTTCCAGCCTTACTCGATGCGCACTCGGTCTTAATTTTTAAAACTTTTGGGCCCCAGTTGGTTGAAATGGGTAATGGTATCCACTGGATAAATCTCTATCCTGTGAATGATGCAATACAGTTTGTAAATGCGTATCCCTTGGATAGCGGTTTATCTGTTGGATAATGTTATCCACTGTTTGAACACGCAGGTGTTCTCCGTATATCCCCCCCTTACTTACTATGATATTTAACTGACGGAAATGGTACTCTATGGCCATTATTTCCTTTCCAACTCAACAGTTGCACTTGTATCTATAGATAACATTTTAGTATCATCAAGAAAATTCAGTCACTAAGTGACTCTTCTTTCTTTACGAAGAAGATGTTACTAACCATGCACTAATGCTTTGCTCCAAGAATGCATGAGACAAAGTAAGTTACTCACGAATTAGATCAATGTGGTCTTCAAACCAGTCACTTCGCGGACACGTCAAATTGCGGACAAAAAATTTACCGACACAAGTAGCCAACTTGTAGCCCACCTTTGGTCAACTTGTTGAGGATCATCTTTGGTCGACTCGCTGACATACTGGTGTTGAACTAACACAGCATGAAATCACAAATTTACGTATCTTTAACTCTTGCGTAAAGAACCGTAAATATAAAGCGTCTTCTTTACGGACAAGTTCCGTTCCGTAAAGATGCGTAAATGCAGAGAAACCGTAAAGACTGCGTAAATGCAGAGAAACCGTAAGGACTGCGTAAAGGATATTAAATGTTCGTAAAGGATAGAGATCAAGATGGATATAATTAACCACTTTCTATTTAGATAAATTCACAAATAAATGAAATAATTATGGCTCAGCCATCTTCAGTAGAATTACCGAGGTATTTTGATCAGTTTCGCTTTTAACACTTGAGGCGTCTTCAATATTCTTTACGCATCTTTATTCACTGTTCTTTACGAACCTTTAACATTAACAGGGGGCGAACTTGGGGGTTGGGGAGTTGACTAAAGGTGTCGAGAAGTTTAATAATGACAACGACAAGTTGACTAATGGTGTTAGTGAGTTGGTTGTTGATAATTTGACGTGTCAGCGAAATGATCGAGAACAGTTTGTTTTTGTTGCTCTATCAAAAAATAAACATCGAAAATTATGTATTTGCTTTGTTACTCTCCAGGATTGCCTCTTTACTGCGACAAGTCTGAAGTTACTGGTGGTAAAAAATTCGGGGAAGTGATGCAGGAAGTGCTTCTCCCAATGACACTGGATTATTACGTGAGGTCACGTGATGTTGATGTAGATGCCTTGGCTTTCGATCAACTGTCCAACTTGAATGGAGACGTGGCCCAGAAAAAGGCTGCCATAAAGGTATGGTTGATTGCCTTTTTAACCCTTTATAGTCCAGTAGCAGTATGCGTATTCTCCATACTGTTCTCTGTACATTTCTCATGGTACTGACAAGAGAATTTGTACATCAACCAAGAGCTTTTTTCGGTTGGCGATCATTTTCTTTATTCTCATGATCCTTATGTATTATTCAGTAATGATACTGTAAGGAGAAGTTTGATATTAGTAAAAGCTTAAGTTTCACAATTTTTTAGATACAATTTAAAAAAGCAAATTAGAGTTCTCTTTCTGTGTTCTCCTAGCCTCATTCAAACACATGAGAGGTTGGAAGAATTTTTGATTGCTATGGAAACTCTCAACTGCATTTCGGGTCAATGCGTCGATCAATTTGAAGCTTCAACGTCCCCCTGGGGCAAACCCCCCAGGCATTTGAACCTCTGAAAATTGGTACGTTCGAAAACCCACCTCCCTCCCACCCGTGGCCAAAATTTTGTTCAAATGCCCCACCTAAGTGTCGGATTTGATCATCAATTGTTTAATAAAAGGCAAGATTTGTGACCGTGACTTTCTTGTAGAACTTTTCTTCTGAGTCATCTTCTCACCAAAGTGAATTTTTGTCTTATAAACACCTCCATATTAAATGATAAAACACGTTTTCTCTGCTGGAAAGACTTGACAGTTCCGGTTCAAATTCCCCACTCCACCCAGGCAAAGTTCAAACTCCCCACCCCCGAACACAAGCGACAATCAAGTGCCCGTTGGTTGCCCGGGGGGTGTTAGGATGTCGAAGCCTCCAATAGATTGACGCATTACAACACAAATGAATTCATCCGACGTAATTTGCCATTAATAAAATGTGGTACATAAGTTGTTTTGCTGTCTATCTTAGCTTAAAAAATTGGAAGTTACCTTTTTTAAACTTTATGCCAAATAGGCCCTATTCTTTTTTCTGAATTTTACCTGCCGCATGATTATGGAGGGAACATTTAAGTACTTTCCAGAAAATGTAGGATAGTTTTACTAAATTTTCGTATATTTATTTCAACCATAGGAAATAGCAGGAGGTAATCAAAACATTCAAAATATATTCACCACCGCCCTGGGTACCAATACAAAATCTTACACGTTGGAGAAAGTGAAGGAAGCCATAGACATTCTGAATACGGAGCGAAAGAAACGATTACTTCTCCTTTTGGAATATATTGAAGATCAAGGTGAGCCTATGAACAATAAGGTAAAGTATGGAACTCGAGTCATTGTGGCTCACAAGGTGCCAGAGCATATCGCGGTCTCCGTAGCGTGAAGCGACTAGGAATACTGCAAACCCCCTTAGTTCCCTTACTTCTTTGAAGATTACCCCCTTAGTACCAAAGACTATTGGAATCAAAGTCAGTATCTGAGCAACTGCGTACCAATAGCAAGTTGGGATTAATGTAGGCTAGGGGAGGGGTAGGTGCCCAGTTGCTCAGATACTGACATTGATGGGATGATTCATACAATTTTAATCCGGGAGCTCATGAAATATATGACTGAATAGTAAAGGCAAAATCATTCAACAGGCTAGATATGAGATCGAACGGAGAGGGTTCTAGCCCTAGCCAGCCTCATAATGCTGTGCTCTTGGGTAAGAAACTTTCCTCCCGCAGTGCCTCTCTCCACCCAGAAGCATTAAATGGTACCGGCGAACCATCACAAAAACTCGCTTTAGAGATGACAAAGAATGGATATCCACGAAGACGACGAACTCGTGCCACCCTCGCAACCAATCTGCTGCCAAACTTAAACCTAATGCGACTTGGTTACCTGCGTTTTCCTACGCTTGAGGACGTTTCCATCCGTTTCAGCGCTCTGTAATTGGTTCAGAAAACTGGTGCCACTCTCTCAACCAATCAAACGCAGAACTAAGACAAGTCATGACTTGGTTATTCACGCTTTCCGCTCGCTTCAGGCAGTTAGCAATTTCACATTCAGTTCTCATTGGCTCCTTGGGACATTTTCCCTTGTGCGAATTTTTTGTTTGGATTGCTCTAGTTTCCTGTTTTTTCTTTTCTTTGTTATTTCGACGCGCAATCGAAAACTGATATAGTCGTCACCACCTCTTTGGGTTTGAATTTCTGATATCCAATAGCAAAACGCTGTAAGTTTGATTTTTAACTACAACTATACCCCATTCATACCAGCAAACCATGTTTCGTTAAGCCAGGTCCAACGGAATGAAAATCAGCAAGGGAAAACTGAAAAACTGATTTTCCATGGCGTTCAAGTAATACCAAACTTGTATTTTCAAAGTGTTGAATTGGAAGTCGACAAACATTACTTTAAACAGCTTCTGTAAAGAAAATGATTTTAAACCGTGTTTACCAAAATAGCTTTAACACATGTTTAAGCTTTGGTGAGAATGGGATATAACTTAGCTCTTGCATTTGTCAGGTTGGAGCGATGGTAGTGCTATTGGGTCTTTGGATCATGAGATGAACAATTGCGGAGCAGGTTTTATGAATGCAGTCTTCCTCCTGAAGGATGAAATTACCGCTGAAGGTAAACTCGATGATTATGTGGCTACTATGAAGTGGTACAACGAGTTTGGAGAAGTTTATCAAGACCCGTTTGAATACGTTGGTACAACTGCTGACCGTATGAGAACCATTTCATTATTCAGGTAAGATGTTTTCATGTCAGTTCCTTATGTTACATATGTTTTTTAAAGGTATGCGTTACTTTTGTTTACTAAGACATAGCTGTGTGAAACTTGGGTAAGTTTCAAAAGAAAACTGTGGTGCTGCGTCGATGGGGTATTACAAGATGATTTGGTTTAAAGTAAAGAGTTTCTGAGAGCTGACGTTTTGAGCGTTAGTCCTTCGTCAGAGCCAACAGAGGCCTTGTAGTTTTTCGCTCTGACTCAAAATAGAGAGGTCCTGGTTTTGAATTCTGACGGGGTCATTGTGTTGTGTTTTTGATAATTGTCGAAAGTAATCCGGGATTTCTTTATTTTCTGCTTCACGACACTCTGTGATTGGTTGAGATAACTCGTGCTACCACTCAACCGATCAGATTTAAGACGAACGCCAGGGCAAACAGGGAGCTGATCAATTGCGCCTTTCTGCGCTTCAAGCAGTTAGCTTCGATTTTAGTTCGAGTCCTTGCTGCTCCTTGTGTTCAGATTGGCCACGGTTTTTATAACATCTAGTCGAAATGCGCTTTAGCGTTTAACTCAGCATCATGTTTCAGAAAACGGATAAGATAGAGATACTTAAGGCTATGTTTTTAGGGGGCTACGCTTCAACATCGTAAAACATTTAGCCTATGTTTAAGTTTGTAATCTGCAATCATTTTGAATCAATCATCCTTAGACATTCTTCCATCTTCTACCGTTACGAAACTTGTATTTAAACAATCCGTTTTAATCTACCAATCCTCAGCCATTCCCTTTTTTTACCTTCTTTTTCCCTTCTTATCTTTATTGTTTTTGCTACTATCGTCAAATCATATCCCTTTAGACCATTGCTCTGCCACTCGCCGTGCACGAAGAAATTTATGAAATACCTTTCACCAGCAAACTTATTTGTCTTGAAGTCAATTTAAAAAAAAAAAGACGTTCAATCCTCAGCCTTATGTGCGTTGGCTCTTTCTTCTGCAGGTTGTTTACTGTTCTAATGATGCCAAATACAACAGATGACGAAAAGCTTGATAAAATTCGTGACATGGAAGAACTTTTATCATGGTACGTCAACGGACTGACTCCTAATGAAGCTTTCGGAGGAGTTTTAAAGCCAGACTACCTTGGATTCCATCACAACAGTTTTTATGGCTCTGCTTACTTCCCACATGCTCTTCATGTTGCTTCACTCATCGAGTTTCTACTCAGTGGAACACCATTTAAATTGGGTAAGAATCAGCTTGTTACAAGGGAAAGTATAGTGGGGACAAAAAAAAAAGAGCTACGGCGCACCAACCCCTCTTCAAACCCAAAATTACCCCTAATTTGTTATTAGTTGACCGTTATTTAGCTATAGGGAAAGGGTAGGTGTGCAGTTTCTCCGATAGTTACATTGATCCAAATGGATTAAGAAACCATTGGTTGCAGATATGCTCTAGAAGTCTAATTGTGCAGTTGTGGATGGTCCTGGAAAGGACTCCTGTCAGTAGCATTGTCGTTGACAAATATGTTAGCCAGATACTGAGCGCTATGGCTTTCAGCAACACCACCGAGGGGAAAAGGCGAGGAAAGAAATGTGCTAGCGGGTGACTTCTCTGATTCTGTTTCCTGAAGTGTGGTTTCTAAGGTAGCGAACGACTACGCAAAGATAATTGTTTTAACTTTTATAAAGCTTTCTTTGGTTTAGGTTTTCTCTTCGTCCATTACATCAATAATTCTGTTTTGAAGCTCCTTTTGTTTTCTTTACTTGCCTGCGAGAAGAGACGCCTCTTTGGCCTTTTTGTTTCGTAAGGCAAAAGTGAGGCAACAGGTGGAGAGAGGCATCTTCTCGTAGGATTCCTGAGCACTCTGATGTTTCGGCCGTGTAAAACTTTTCTGACGCAGTCATAAACCAGATCTGTTGTATACTCAATATTTAGGGCATACGTTGATTTTAGTAAGGGAATAACTGTATTTTGTAATTAGAGTTTGAGTTAAGTTGTATTTTCGTGGTTTTGGTTCAAAGGTGAGGACACAAGCAAGCATATTAAGAAAGGTCTTGAGACAATGAGGATTGTTGCTGTTAAATACTCAACTCCAAACAGTGTAGCGGGTCGATTTCCAGGGTTTTACCGTGCAATTTTGGCTAGGATTTTTCCTTCCTATGCTTACGCCGGTGCAACTGCTCCTGATTTAAACGATGATGGAAGTCTGGGTGAAATTACTATTCTCGACAGCGATAAGGTCAAGATGTTTTTACGACTTTACGATCCAGGCAATGAGGATGTTAGCAATTACCTGGAAGATGGGACTATATCCACACATATCTTTTACTTAAATACTATTGGTTCGATCAACATCATGGAGGAAATAAGCTCTAAAGCTGCCTCGATGGGTATATTGGCCGAAAGTTCGCCCCAGGGATTCTGGACGAGAAATTATGCTTCGCTAGTGATTAACCGAAGAGAAAACTGGGCGGTAACAATGAAAGGCTTCAACAAGTATGTCTGGGACTTCGAGGCCTCAAGCACTCGAAATTTTTTTGGTCTTTATCAAAGTCATGGTGCACTTCTCGTTGCAAACAGCGAGGCGTCACTTAAAACTCTGGATATCGATAATGGTTGGGACTGGACACGACACCCGGGCACTACAACAATAAAAATGGATTTTGATCAATTGATCAGCGACAACCGTAGGTAAGCAATGAAATTTTCTTCGCCCAAATTCGTCTTTTTCGTTTGGCCGGCTTCGCGAGCGGGTAGATCCCCCCATTTCGATCCCGTGAAACTATTCTATAAGGAAAATTTTTCCTTTAAGGTTCCTTTTAACAACAGCAATAACAACAACAACGATAACAACAAATGTGATGTACCCTATATCAAGTTTTAACAATCTATTGAATAGAAAGTAATAATTAATTATTAGTATGATAGTAGGGTAACAACACCCTAAAATTACTAAGGAGTTAAAAATGATAGGGAGCTGTGTATTCACCTTCTCCCTCCCCCCACCCCGCCATAAAGAAAGAACTGCGTTTTAATAGAAAAAGATACCAGCAAGGCCCGAGGGCCAAATAGTAAGGTCCTTACTCAATGAACTTAGGTTCATTAAAGAATTGGTTCATGCTTAGCGTGCCTATATCGAATTATGGATACACTTGGGAAGTTTGGGGAGCGCCTCGAGGAACTCAAGCTTCTTGAGTGCTCTCCAAACTTCTCAAGATCGTCTATAACTCGATATACGCACAGCTAAAGCATGAATTAAATATTTGATGTTGAGATAAGGCTTAGGTCGGAATAAAATTGTGTGTCCTTTTTTTTATCTCCAGTGGAGGTGCCCCCCACCCCCACCCTCCCGCTCCCAAAATTATCCAGAGGGCTGGACAGGAGACATGTTAGGTGTCTCTTAGTTTTAAAGTCCAACTTTCTTGAAGAAGTAAATGTATATCTATCATTATAGTAGTACTGGGGGCTCTTATGGTGCACAACCAATCAGAGAAGAGTATTTCGTACAATGTAGCACAAATGAACCAATTATATCATCTGACATTAGAAGTGGCTCCACAGATATTTTCAACCCAAGGAACTGGCGGGTGGATTAACTTTGATTGGTGGCGGTAATTATCCTACGGGGGTCTTTGGAATGGATTTCTCACAGCCTAAGTATCAGTTTCCAGCTGGTTCCTTTCAACTTGACATCACCTTTGAATTCAAGAAGAGCGTGTTTTTCGCAGATTTTGCCGTGATTTGTCTCGGATCTGGAATCACAACTACCATGAGCTCGCCCAACATAACTCAGGTACATTAATTTGTTTCCCTTTCAGTTGAAACAAATTGATTGTAAGATTTATTTTCGTCTAAACGGGGCTGAAAATGGTGTCGTCCTTTTTATACCAAGTATTTGATTTATTGATTTTAACAGCCTTTTTTCGTTCCATTGACAACTGTCTTAAAACAATCCAGTAATTTCTCAAGATGTTTTCATCAGGTTTATGACATAACAAGTCAACTAAGCATCAAGCCTCTTAGAAACCACTTTTCTTCAAATATGTTAGAATTATTTCTATAATCAAAAACTTCATATCATCAAAAGGCGGCGACAGATATAGTGTGAACTGTTACTAGTAGTAATTTGCAATTTGTCTAACGCTATCAACAAATACAGTTTATCAGGAAATTTAGGAGTCGTTTTGGGGGAAATGGTGACCACGGGGTTTGAGAGGTCGGGTTTTGACTCCCGGGAGGGTCATCGTGTTTTGTCCTTTGTCCTGTGAACTGTTGATAGATTTTAGGGGTTGCCTGTTATGCTCTGGCATAGATAGATTGATAGAGAGATAGCTATACGGATAACTTTATTTAAAGTAAATGAAGGGGGTAAGTTTCCACAGAAACTGTGATGCTGCGTCGGTAGAGTATAACAAGGCATTTTGGTTTTATCAGCTGAGTCGATGAATTAAATTGGCCACCGTTAAGAGTTTCAAAGCTGACTTTTCGAGCGTTAGCCCTTCGTCAGAGCGAAGGGCTAACGAAGGGTTAACGCTCGAAACACATGGCCGCTGGGCTAAGTTAGAGGTTTTCCACAAAATTAAAAGATCATGAAATAATACAATAATGGCATTTATTACCCACCCCCTCTCTCCCCACGAAACGTGCAATAATTGTCCTTGACTAAAAGTATCAAATTTGAGCTTAACAACAAAGAAAAAACCTAAATACTTATCGTTCCATGATGTGCTTAAGAAATTGCTGGCTACTGTATGTTATCCGGAAGCGAGTTCCTTTTCTTAGCCACAACTTGAACCATACTTCGGTTACGTAAGTTTATCGTGGCCTCCTAAATTATACTTGTCTTTACTTAATTTCGTTAAATCGCCTCTATTTATTAGTGCCCGGCCCTGTAAGCGGCTGTTTATTATGGATTGGATGCCAACATTATTCCTAGTCACTTCACGCCTCAGAAACTAGAGGCCTGTTTCTCGAATGTTCCGGTAACTTAATGGCCCGATGGGGGTTTTAAAAGTTTTGAAAATTATACAATAAAACTATAAGATAAGGGAAAAAATGGACTTGTGGACTTAAAATGGACTGCTTCTCTATTCCTTAAATTTTGATTTTAAAATATGGCTTCGGGCGCGTTTAGTTACGGGGAGCTTTGAGAAAAGAGCCCCAGGCTGTGTTTGGAAATGGTGATACACTCAGTCGCATTAATCATGCTATATCCTTTCTTTACGCGACGATATTTTCTTAATCTTTCTTATGAGAAAACTAAGGAATGCACGCTTGAAATTGGTTTCAGACCACGCTGTTCCAGACGAAGCTTCTTAACGCAAGCAATCCATCATCAATTCTGATAAACGGAGAAAGTCACTCACTTGACACCGACTTGATAAAGACGCCGTCGTTCTTTAACACAGGCAACCATGCAGCTACACTTGTAGATGTCAATGGTAAATAGATAATATGGACGATTCGATATAGGCATTGAGCAACTGTTTTTTTTTTTATACCAAACTTTCGCCGATCTAGGGCATCGTTAGGGAATACAAAGAAAATATTTCACTTTGCATGATATGAAAATGATGTATCGTCCATTTAATCAACATGCTACTGAAGGACAACTTCAAAAGAATTATAAAATCAA